CATTACAAACGATTCTGAGCCATGTCATTCAAGGTCTCTAACCATTAGTTATTTTGGTCTCGCGGACTCCAACCAGGTAGCCTACATCCACCTACATTACTCAGTAAAATCCACTTGTCAGTGACTTCGTGGATTTGTGCGTTGTTCTGGTTTGGCCGCCCCTACCTTTCTTCCAGTCTACTCCTACACCACAAAACATAGCTCGTCGAGGCAGTCGGTGGGTTGGCGTACGTACCATATATATAAACCACCTCAATTGATGATGCATACCTTCATTAATCGATCCGATATCCTTCCCTAGTGCTCTTTTCCTAACACCAGCAGTGGCTAATCGGTAGTCCTAGATTATTCGAGCAATGCTGCGAAGACACCTATGATCGAATGCTAGTGGCCTACGAATATGCTTTACTCTTAGTAGCCGTGTTGCACACACGTATACTAGGACGGAGCGAACTGATTTGCAGTAGACTCGTCCTTTGATTAGGAGATGGATATCACGCCTACGCCATAAGTGGTGCAAGTTGGCACCGAATAGAGCTGTCATCGGCATATTCTAGGTTAACAAGTGGATCGCCCCGTAAAAGTTCAACTCCTGGAAAGTTAAATGATGAGGGTGTTGTCTCTAAAAGCATGTTAGTAGAGAGCCTGTAAAAGAGTAATGTACTTCTTCGGCACACCTTACAATGACAGACACTACCATAGAGCCTCATGATGGATAGAGTCAAATGCCGCCTTAAGGTCCAAGAATACGACTGTTTTCGGATATCTAAATGTGTGTCTGTGTTCTATGACCTGACGTAGTGTGAATATCTGGTGTATACTACTACGTCCAGGTCTGAAACCAGATCCGTTTTCTTGAAATATTGTTAGGCGTCGAATTATTAATGAGGTTAATATTTGGATACTATATTAGTTAAACTGATTCCTCCATGATTGTCTCAAGAGGACTTTTGTCCTTTCTTATGGATTGGGACAACAAGGGATTGAGACCAGTCAGATGATACTACTCCCAGTTCCCAGATTCTACCTAAGATCTTAGTCAATCTAACTGTTAAAACGACCACTATCCTTAAAAATCTCAAGGATTAACCTGTCAGGGCCCGGTGCTCTCCCTCGCTCAGATTTTTTCTAGGTTTTTCAACCGGATTATGAGTTGGAGGAGTTACATCAAATTTCTCTTCAGGTTGACTGGAGATCGTGGATAACTAAATTGTGAACGAAAGTCTGTTGAAGTGATCCCTGAAGCGTCCTGCCCATAGATCCAATCTCCTGGAATGAGAATGAATAATGGTCACATCCTTTTTCGAGATAGTCTCACTAGCAGTCGGTTCTGTAATACTGGTTGCCCTAATTAGTCCAAATAGTTGTCTACTATTGCTGCTGCCTTTTTCATCTCTTTTGCTTTCACTACTCACCACCATTTGCGATCATTGCGCATGATTCTTATCAGCCTGCTCTTAAACTGGTTCCGCTTTTCGTCATGTTCAGAGATACATGAGATGAGTTTTCGAGGATCCATCAGTTCAGTAGATGCTAGTGATATTCACAGCTTCCTCCTAACCTTATAGTTTACCTTACTGGGAGATGTCACTGCCGATTCCACAGCTTTCTGGATAACGTTCGAAGCTGCCTCTGGGTGGGCATCACTTACATGGCTGCCTAGCTGTTTTTCTAGTTTCCCCTGAAATATTATACTTTTGGTTTTACTATCTTTAAGTAAAACTGAGGTGTTTTACTTGCTGTCTTTCTTATATCCAGAACGCGGTTAACAAATTCGTGCTCGTGATATGAATATAAACATGTGTTCCAGAATGAGCGGTAGTCTTCAATAGAGCCTCTCCATCGGTGGGTGTTTGCAATGTGGTCTCTTTGCGTGGATTTTTTGGATCTCCATGTCAAGAGGAATAGGCGGTTATCTGAGCATAGCTACAAAAGACGATTGATATTATCTGTTCCTTGAGCCACGACACCATAAGATCCAGCCAGGCATCTTTCCTTTCCTCTTAGTCTACCTACTTGAGCATTCAAATTACGTTGATTGCGTAGAGGCTAATGATACTATTCACTTGTCTAAACTGAATTAAGTAGAACAAAGTTCAACAATCTAATCCAATCATCAAAATAATTAATTGAACAAATTACCTAATCTATCAATTCGTCCATCATTTTTATTGAAAGAAAAAAAAGATTATCATCATTTTGTAATACAATTCGTTTGTTATCATGATTATGTTAACTTGTACAATGTTAAGATACTTTGAATATTGAACAAATGAAATAATAAAATGTATATTTGTGTAGTACATATAAAGCATGAATAAATGCAATAAATTAATATATATATATTCTTTTTACTGAAAGTGAATTCATCAATGTCATGTCGTCTATATATTACATCAATTGTCATTATCTCTGTTTCCAATTTTATAAAATAATCATAATTTAAATAATACATTATTCACAAAGCAGAAAATAATGATTATGCATATATATATATATATATATATATATATATATAATTTTCATATTTTTCAGTAATGTTCTCCAAAAATCGAAAATACCTCCATGTATAAATATACAACAATAAAAACAAAGTAATGATCCAATGAACATTATGTATATTTTTTTATTATATCAATAGAAAATAACAAAGAAATTCAATAAAATTCAATAAACAGTAAATAAGCAGTAAATAATGAATGTTATGATGTTATGCTGTAGTAATTGAATTGTCAAACCTAAGTCTTTTTTGATACATTGCATTTTATGAGCAATGTTATCAGTAAGCATTTGAAAGTATCAATAAATATGTGAAATGATTGAATTAGATCAATGTAATTAATTATATAAACAGAAATTAAGATTTTACAAAAATTAAAAACTATTATAAAAGATTGTTAATTGGTAATTGTTGATGAGAGTAAATAGAAAAACACAATGATCAGTATTATGAGTATACACACCAGGAAGAAATGTATATTGTATATTGTTTGAGATAACTGCCATAGAGGTAGTTAAAATATCGATCAGTAGTAGTTTTACAAGTTATAGTGATAATAATAATAATAATAATTATTATTATTATTATTAATGAATAAAGTAGATTAATCTGTCCTATTTGGTCAGTTTATCTGTTATTTATCATATTGTAAATATTTATGTGGTTGTCTAGTTGTCTTAAAATCCCTAAATAATTTAATTCATTCATAAACGAACTTTTATGATGAAATTTCAAATACACTTTATCCTTTGAGGTAATTTAAACGAAATTTGCACATATTGTTTTGTTTTGTGTAGTAATAATAATAATAATAAGATATCACTAATGATTAAAGTATGATTAATCATAGATGTACAAATGAATAAGGCTGATATTGGTATATATAAATTTTCTGTTTACGAATATTTTCACCTCTATTAGATTGACACAGATAGATTCTGTCAACAAAATGAGGAAGACTATTGAAAAATGTATCATTTTTTTTAATTAGCTTGTGAATAAGTTGCATGGTACCTGTGAATTGTTTGCAGAAGAAATATATATAAGGCATATGTTATCGGCTACGTGGAACAGATCCATTCAATGAACTACTAGTAACAGAATTAGCAGTATTTCCTATTGAATCACAAGGACTACGAACTTCTGATTTGAGACGGACAAATTCACGAGCTATCTCATCTTGAGGACGTTGTGATAATATACGAAGTATTGTCCATCCGGTATCATCAAGATGTAATCTTTTTCCCAGGCTACAAATACATGCACAAGCACCACTTTGACCACCAGCAGTTCCACCACCTCTTGGATTAAGCGTAGGTGAAACATTTAAATCACTTGTTGTTGCTAAATCACGTAGTTGTAGTACAGTCAAACCAATCAATCGATCTGTACGACCGAAACAATAATCTTTTGCGCATATATGCAATTCATAAGATTCCGGGTCAGAACCAGCACTGAGAAAACTAGAATTTTGACAAGAAAAACATGGAAAAACATTATAATACTAAAACAGAGTTAATAAGCTTAAGATTCAGTAAAGAAATAAAAAATGATCTTAGTTATGTTACCACTGAAAATCTAGAGCCACTGGACAGTCATTCTGTCATAGAATAGGGTTCTTTAGTTATGCGGATTAACAACTCCGCCAACTTATAGGGTGTAAGACACTTAGTTATTTCCCTGACGCGAAGTAATACAGTGGCACACTGTTAAAATATCTGCACATACAATTTTATACAGTTGATTATAGCCTGTTTTACATATATAATTATCAAATGAAATCAGACATATACAAATATAAGAAAAATCTAGCATTTTCACTATGCAGTTGCTTTTCAATACATACAGTACTGGCAATCAAAATGGAATATTTTGAGGATACTTTAGTATAGGCATGAAATAACTACATTATAAATAGGATTTGAACTATTATTATACTAGACAGGTCAGTAACGTTTGTGATTTCAGTATTAGTTTCAATGATTCTCTATCAACCTTCATTTTTATCATTAGTTTTCTCAGTGCTGCATCTTTGATTGGTTATTTAATGTTTGATTAAACATTCTGATCAACAAGATATGAAAAAGTATTGAAAACGATAATGTCTTAATCGTTGTTCGCATATATATGCTGTGTTAATTGCTCCTTAACAATATATCACATGACCAAACCTAACTAGTCTCATATCTAGCTATTTGATGCTTTTTGATTGTTAATGATGCTCTAACTACTAAGATCAGTCTGTCAATTAACCTATGAATATTTCATTATTCATTCATTAAGAACAGTCTTCTCTTTAATCCAAACACAATAATTGAGAATAAGTTAAAATGAGTCAATAGGAAAATCTTAAAGAAACACTAATTTTCTTTCCAAAAAAAACCCTGAAAGCTTCATTTAAAAAAAACAGATTTCATTTAAATAAGAACCATATATTCATGGTTTTGAATAAACATACAATGTAAATGTTTCATTGTATACGGGAGACCAAACATTATTTTTTGATTTTGTTGCAAATTTATGCTTTTTATCACTTAATAATGGACCAAACAATACTATTTCAATAAAAGGTTTAAATGTTCCAGATGTTGTCCATTTCAAATTATTTGCTGCAATCACTGAATAGAGAAAAATAAGAGAAAACATAAAATGATGGATTGTTTTCAAAAGAAAATATTCTCCAATTTACATATGAAATATTCAAAGTTAATTGTTTCAGAGATCAACAAAAATCCATCATAATTAAATTTTACGAAATGGGATTTATGATGATTGTTGTATTTCATAGATGCCAGCTCAGTCTTCTAAAGATTAAGTGTACACTTTGAGAGCTGAAGGTCCTAGGTTTGATTTTGAACTGTTAGTTTTTGAGTATTACTTACGGTATTACGGTAAATAATTATAACTAGTGTTGTGAGTTCACCAGTGATTCTTTGTCTCCCAAAATAAATTTTTATGTATACAGCTTATGATATCAGACAATGTGTGAAGAGTGACGTAAATATCAATTATGATATTAATTAACCATCATATTTCAATACGAATTATTAACTTTGGAAATATGAACCGCTGAATTCATTGTGGCTCCATGGTATCATGGCCAATGTAAAATCTGAAGGTTTCGGGTCTGTTCCGAGATGGGTTATAAGATCATGTTGCTAGAGTGTCCTAAACAAGATGTAACAACTTTTTAATGCCCTCTAGTTTTTAATAGTCCTCATTCCTTGAAACACCTAAATTCAGACAGAACAGTTTCCACAAACTTCCCAACTCAAAGTGCTATCAAAAGTAAAATGACATAATCCATATTTATTATTATCGATATGCTGTTATGTTTGCTGGTTTTGAGTAATCACCCGTATATCAGAAATCCGAAGTTACACGATCTCGAATTCAATAGTTTAGGTTTCACGGGGATTTTGAAACCATTTATTCACGAATTAAAAATCCATTGTCCTAAATTTTCCTCTCTAGTCAATATACAATTCAACGCGGCCTACATTCAAGTCGAAAATGATAAGGGCTAGTTGTCAACCATGAGATAAAACGTCTCTGTTCAATACTTCTTATTTTACTACGGGCTCTTGTTCAAGTTTGTGATAAAAATTATCTTTAAAGTCCGCAGTATCCAAAAAATGTAAAATATTTAGATGTTACAAAAATTTTGAAATGCTGGAACCATATTATACCAATAAGTACAAACTGCGCTATCAATAGTAACATCAATATAGGACATTGAACATTATAACAACGTGTGTTTTACAACTTCTCTGTCTTGTCATCTAAAACCATTGAATAAATATGACTCATGCATGTATAATTAAGAGTTTTCTAGAGCTTTGTCTGTCTGAGATAACATTATGTTGTATGCACAATGACCTTGAAAATGTACTTCACTAAGACGGTCGGTAAAGTGATAAAGACAAAACAATATGGATATTATTTTATAAAATTAAGGCTTTTTTTTGAGAACGTATGTTCAATATACCGATAGTCACGTAATGTTGACTTGTCATTAATGTATCATACTGGACGACATTTTTATATGGACTATATGTCTGGCACTAATAATATTTCTACAATGTGTGAATTAAATCTAACCATTTAAAAATATATTTAAGTTAGGAATTATCGATCGCCTATTCTTCATATCTCATCACCCACAAGTTTCAAATCTATCGAAATTGTAATAATCAATGAAAATAATATTTAAACTCAATGAAATTTAAATAGTATGATAATAGGTTAGGGTTTTTGAAATGTAAAAATAAATCTTGTGGTTTATACTGTCATTGATAACAACTGTTGTGTTTCATTTGAATTTTCAAATGTTCACCACTTGATATTACTTGATATTAATGCTATGAGAATTAGACTGGAGTTTAGTTTATTTCCAATATGAAAAACTTTTGATTAAAATTAATTAATTTAAGTAATATTATAATAGTTTGTAAAAATTTTTGTTATAATAGACTGAATGATTGTATTTTATGATCCCTTCCCTTCATTTAATATTGAATGATTGAAATGAAGTAATGTGTTGCTTGCGAATTATTAGTTTTGTTTTATATTTGGTTTAAAAAAACTTAATTGCACAAGATATATAGAATAAATAACTGAAGAGAATAGAGTTTATAGAGATGACAAACAATTGAATTATGACTGTTAAAGTTTTAATTATTGAAAAATAATCAAGGGACAGGACTGTAGATCACAACTATGATGGTCAAGTTAATCATTTTTTACAGTTGTGCATTAATAATTCATGTTATTTCACATGTTATAAATTCAGTTTATTTAAAATGGATTCCAAAGTTTGATTGATTAGAATATGGAAAGAAAATTAGAAATAATTAGATACAATATTGTACTGATTATGTAGTTTTGCATGATAATAATCTCAGAATGTGATTTACATCACTACAAACTTTGAACGACTAATTCACTAAGCTACAATCACTGCTAGTTTACTCAATGAATATGAAATTTGTATTGCTTGTAAAGAGTTTCGTGATCTTATTTCATGTACTGATAAATATTCATTGTACTTAGTGAGGAATTTTGTTTGCCTATGTATAAAATAGTTGAGAATATTCCTACTACTACTTATTTTAAACTATACATTGGTCAGGTGAAACACATTGTTCTATAAATCTTCATAATCTGTCGTGTTTGAATCTTTAGATGCTACAAAGTATTTCTGGATAATAGCAACTTATAGTCAGATCTAGTTGAAAAATTCCTTTAACTACTGTCCGGATATTTTATTGTTATTGATATTCAGAACGAAATTGTCACGAATTCCACCAAAAAAAGACGATCATCTAATTACAGTCAATATCGAGGACTTCATTCAAGGAACTTATATTTCAACACACCCGACCGAAGCTGCTACCTTGACGTGGTGGTCGGGCTTGACTATCGTGATGACCCAACCGAGCTATATTGGCTGGAACTTATGTTCCTGAAGGTTCTACCATGCCAGGCAGGTCGATTGGAGAACGACGAGACTAAAAGCAGCTACCCAAGGTCTGAGGGCAGAGTCGTACTGCTGACTCCAGAGGGGTGTGACAGCAGTAAGGTGTTTCACTCGGATAACCAGTATCTGCAGATATGCTGCCTTCTCACAAGGAAGGAAGGGTTAGAAAAGGTCGACCGTCAAAGTGTCACGACTCACACTACCTCACGGATTTCCGTCTCCTTGGGTAAGGGTGCCCACTAAGGGCCTTTAAGAGCAGAGCTAATCCTCAAAAAACCTTTCATAAAAAGGTCGTGCGTGACCGGCCTCAAGCAGTTGTCCCCTGGGCTCTGCGGTCACGCACCCAGGTCTCTAAGACCAACACTAATCTATCTTCCTTTTCAGGTCCCTCAAGAAACAACCTTCCACGGTGTGGGCAGCCGGGAAGTGACAACCACCCTCATACCCGTAACAGCACACGAGACCAAATTGGTCAAAATCAAATCCTATATGTCAACACAATAGTGTAATAGAAACCATTCAAACTAGTGATACAACATTCACTTTTTAAGTAAATAAAGAGTTGATGCGTATTAGTTTACTTTAAGTGGGATAGAATTAATACTTTTTGAAAAAGCAGCTAATTACTGCTTAGAATTCTTCATAGTGTTGTTCTCAAGATGTTTATGTAATCGATAACAAGGCATTATTACAGTCTACTGCATTGTAAATTGAACAGTTGAAGAAAATCCGTTTGTAGCATAACTTGGTGAATATCAACCGAAACTATTTTTATTCATTATAAAAAAACTGAACAATGGAAAATACACAGGCATTGGCTTTAGTTTACCGATAAAATTAAACAAATCAGTTATTAATTTCGAAATAATGTAAGTAGACTTTTTGATCTATTTTTATATCTTAAAAAATTACAAATATACTTTTGATGTTCATAAACATTAAAAAAAAACCGCTTCATTAGTCTGTCATAAATAAAGAACTAGTGTTTATGAGAAATGGTATTTTAGTTGTTGGATGCCAACCATATATGATTCACCTTGACTACTTTGGTTCGTTTTTTCACATAAACTGGGAAATGTTAAAATTAGACAGTGAATAAACAGACAGACATGTATATTTAGATGGATAGACAGACAGATACAGATAGAGAAATTTAAATGCAAATAAATTTTAGTTATTTATTTTTATTCTTAGAAGGTCCGTTAATCTTTTGTCTCAAAAAAATCTTTTAACGAACACAAACATAGATATTTTCAGTGTGTCCCAATTCTTATGATAATCTGAGTTTTTTTTTTAATGTATATCTGAAGCCAACTGTTTATTAGTTTTAATTTATGCATCTTTTAGCTAGAATAATAAGTTATATTATTTGAAGAGGTTTGTGTTAAACTTTACACAGTTTACAAAATTAAATTAAACCATTTTCTGTCTGTTCAAATGAGATAAGGTCTTGAAGACAAGTCACTCTCTCTGAGTGTCTTCAAAAAGTAAGTACCAATGTGAATCTAAGATAAACAGTTTGAGTGATTTTTGTAACATCTTAGAAATAAAGTAGTAATGTGCTAACGTACGTAAAATTTAAAAAAAATTGTGTACAAATCTTTTTATCCTGCTAGATAAATAATAAATGACAAAAAACTGAAATAGTTAAATTTTTGTACAGAATCAATGAAGTGTGATTAATACATGTTTTGCCCTATTTGGGAGTTATCTCTAGATGTGTAGTGAACGAGAACACAGGTGAGGGCAATCGAATTGTGTTTAACGAAAATTACAGAGTTACCCAGTAAAATCGGAAAACCATATCGTAAATTGTTCATTTGCAAAAGATTAGTTCATCCTATCAAACTGGACTGTTCCTGTTGCAAAACATCAATCCATTGTCATTATTCATGCTATTTCATACAAATTTCATTGTTTTCTAACTCTTCCTTTCTTGATCTTCCCCCATATTATGCTGGCAGACATTACGTTGACACTCACATCATATACTACTTATAAGTAGCTCACATCACAGATGTACCTAAATAGCAGAGTTGATATTCACTGAAGGGACTTAGACAGGGCACCTACGGCTTCAGATACCAATGCATTATCCACTTAACTACCGAGTTCACATAGTTATTCACTTATGTAAAA